GAGCTGAGGCGCGGCGGGGTGCTGAGGTGAGCGGAGCATGTATTCCCCTTTTTTCCCCCTCTCCTAAAAAAAGGCTCTCCCGGAGCCTCCTCTGAGGTGGGGGGAGATCCCTCTGTAAAATTCCTTCGCGTATCTCGTTCCTCGGCCCTGTAAACCGCCGCCGGGTGGGTGATTTAGAGTTCTTTTCTGCCCTTTCTATATGTATTTAAAATATTCGCCTGCTGTAGGCCCAGCGTCGTCGTTGCCTGCAGCCTTGGGTCGCCTCCTGGGCCGCTGGAAGCTGCCTGCTGTGCATCGCAAGGTACGGAGCACTCAGAAGGCTTTAATTTAAAATTTTAACGTGCTATGTGCGGTTGATTTTTCATCTATTGAAGCTGGAAACCTCCAATATTGTTTAAAGCCCTTTCCTTGCCCCGTTTTGGGCAGTCCTGTTCCTCAAGGACTGTTAAATGTATGTGAAATTAAGGTAAGGCCCCCTCCCCACGCCCAGCCCAGTGTTTGCCCCGATCCAACCTTGGGCCTGATCCCAGCTGGATCCCAGGAATCCTCCTCGGTGGGATAGAGGAGAGCACAAATTCCACCTTGTGCTGGAAAATATGTATATGGAGAAAAATATCCCCCCCAGCTGTCATCCCATCAAGAACATGACCGTGCATGCTTTGATGGTAACTCCTAGCCTTTACACTGACTGAAGGCAGACATAACTTCATGTCTTTGAGGACTGTGGTAGCTTCCTTACTTTCTTTAGATTACATTTCCAGGGATCGATGCAGGCTGGTGGTGCTGTTGATGTAGTTTGGGCTCTGACTCACCTTGAAAGGTCGCAGCTTGCTGTTCTGAGAGGAAAGTGTGACATTGGATTTGTTGTTTTTCAAGTTAGCCCAGCAGCTGATGTCTATCTTTTCAGGTTTTCAGCCTTCTTCCTGGGAAAGGTGATTTTTTAATGAGATTAATATTTGTGTTTACTAGTGTTACTATGTGTTGTAGATGCTTACCTTGCATTGCATATGCATGCAAGGCCAACTCTGAGGTGCTGTAACCTGTAGTGTACACCCAAGATCTTCCACTCCTTACCTGGTTGGCAGTGTGGGCTGCATTAGCACTAATTCCTAACAGGAATTAGCTCAGACAAGGCGCAGGGTTATCCCGTTCTGAACTTGTTTGCCATTTCCAGGAGAGAGGGCTTCATGGCACTTAGAGACAGAGGAACAGGGGATCAAAATCCACTGCATGCCTGACTGCAGGCAACTGAGATAGATTTGGTACAGCGGATCCGTAAGCTATGCTTTTGTGACAACATGGTGGCAGTAAGGCATTAACCAGGATGTGTAATGTGATGATTTCTGGTAAAGACCTTGCTTACAACAGGCTCTCCCAAAGCAAGTGTGTCATTTGCAGCTAATTGAAGATACACTGGGAAACTAGTGTGCTCACTGGTGCTCTCTGTTCTCAGTGATCATGTTAAATTAGAAAGAAAATAGGTTTGCATTGGATGAGTAGCGTGAAATAGGCTAGGTAATTTGTTTCAGTAGCCAGTGCTGCTATGAGTACCGGTGGTGATATGATATTATTGTGACACTTCTATAATGCAGATTTTCTTTGGACTCTGTCAGAAATACAATCTGTTATAAAATATTCACGCAGACAGGTTTCTCAAAACTGTCACTTCACTGCATGTTCTGTTCCTCTCCTCCAACCCTGTAATTCCTCACCCAGCACCACCAATGATAAGACTTGAGAGCACCTCAATCTGGAATGCTGGAAGTTATTTTTTTCCATCTTGTGTACTGCGGAAGCAAACTCCATTAGGTCATGTCCTGAGTAGGAGAGACAGGGCAGTGTTTAATGTCAAATAGTTGTCACTAGTCTGGAAATCCAGAAATCCTGTGTATGTCTCTATTCAAATCTTTAAGGAAAGCAGGTAAGTTTTTTGTTGGTGGTGGTTCGTTTGTTGTGTTTTTTTAAGTATGGCTTGCAGTCTGCCTGCAAAACTAGTCTCTGAATTGGAGAGAAACTGCATTATGCCCTTAGGTGTAGCTATTTCTTAATGTCATGTTAACATGTTAACAGGCTTGTGGGAACCCTGTGCTGCCTGTCTCCAGAAAATAATCCCCATTTATTAAAACAACTCGATGCTCTGTGATTAAGTCACAGTCTGCAGAGGTCCATACTGCACTTGGCACTTACCCTTCCTCTCTGTCTCCCCTTGACCCATTCCTCTCTCTGCTACTGTCAGGTTTGCTGCTGCTGCAGAAATGGGGGAGTACGGAATCGCACCAGGCCAGCGCGTTGCTATCATCTGGGACAGCTCGTCGCCGGTTGAAGCCCTGAAGGATTTGGTGGATAAAATTCAGGCGCTGGTGGGAGCTGATAGTCGTGTCTCTGTGGAAAATGTTAACCAACTGTCTCAGTGTAAGAATGAGCTTAATTTGTCGCTGTTTTGTTTAGACGGAGAGGCTGCTTCTGTTGTGTGAGCTGACATCTTCCCTGGTTTGTAAGTCAGCATTCAGAACAACAATAGCAGCTACTGCTGACGCTTACCACTGTCACTAGGGCAAAGAAAGTGATATACCCTGGTCGTGCCTCCTACGACTAGTGTCTTTAATCAGTTATTGCTGTTGTATGCAAGCATGAGAGATGAGGAGGGGGGTGGAACTGGTGTATTAAGCAAAACTCTGTGTGTAGCTATGTAAAATTGTACCATCTTCTTCTTTCTTTCTTTTCAGCGGCTCACAGGGAGTCCAGTTTTGATGTAATTCTCTCTGGCGTGGTATCAGGCAGTACTGCGCAGCACAGTGCAGAAGTACTGGCAGAAATAGCTCGGATACTTAAGCCAGGGGGCCGTGTCCTCCTGAAAGAACCGGTGGTTACAGAATCAGGTGAGAGAATGCACATCAGCTTTGCTTACATGGCAACATAGCAATTCTTGTGAGGATTAGACTGAAATGGAAAGGATGGGAACCCTGACTGATGTTCAGAGATTTTTTCAGTCTTCTGACACACTAACCTGAATAGCAAGGGTTTTATCCTGTGTTTCAACTGGTAGCTGTCAGAGACGTTTGCAGTCACTCTCCTTCTATAAAAAGTGCTGGATAGGTTTGTTCCCAAACTACATTGAAAAGTTCAGTGGAAGCTGGTCTTCTCCTAGAGTGTAATGTTAAATAGTTGCAGATGTTGTGCTTCTGAAGTGATTTTAAAAACATGACAAATGGCAAGAGAAGCTGTCCCAGAAGCCAGCTGAGAAATATTTACCCAGGAAAGGTAGAAGTGTTTGGACTAAGTTTTAAGAGTAAAGCCTTATGCCATGAGACAGCTGGAGGAGCACACAAGGAGGTGAACTCAAGATTACTTCTCTGTCTTATACTTGACCTGCATTCAAACCTTGCTGGTATAAGGAGCTGGTTCAGGATGGAAGTGGAAAAATAATATGCCACCTGATAAGAACAGAAGCAGCTATGCTGACGGTGTTTCTGTTGGCACAATTTACAGCACTGAAAATGGGCGTGTAAGTGACAGCAGAAATGCCTTCTTCAGCTTGGGAAGATTTGCCAACACTTTGAAGCTGGCAGTGGCTCTGTGGTGCAAGTGGTACCTTGGGGGCAGGGGTGAACACTTCTGGGACAGATCAAAGAACATGCAAATTCTAGAGTAGATGAGGTTTCTTTTTTTCCAGAGTCACATCTGACAGGCTGGACTTTGGTGGACTTGGAATAAAGTGCAAGTGGGACTAGTGAGAGAGGGTCAATGGATCCTGTTCAGCACAATCCTGTGCCCAAGAGAAGAAGCCTGTAATGAGTTTTTGATTAACAGTGATTGTAACAGCTTTTGCCTACGAGAACAAGGCTTTTGAATGTTACGTTTCTGAATGTAATGTTCATTTAGGAGTCCACATTTTGAAAACTTCACCAGTTGTTCACTTTAGTATGTGAAAATATTTTGGGGGGATTTTGTTGTTTGGGTTTTGGGGTGTTTTTTTGTTTCCTTTTTTTGGTGGGTGTAAATTGGGTTGAAGAAGATTTTGGCATCTAAGAACAGATCTGGATTTTTGTGACCCCAGGCTGTTATTTTAATGAACAAGCTGCTTATGCTTGTTCCTGCTGTCAACTGGAAAGGGCTCCATTTTGAAGCAGCGGTTTGGCTTGAGTACTTCCTTCTAAACCTCTTACTCTTCCAGGTTTCTTGGTGACCTCCATTCTTTTTCTTCCCTCTTCCTACTTCCTACTTTCATGTCTTCCAGGAAACAACAGCAGACTCAAGACAGCAGCGAAACTCCCCACAGCTCTGACTCTCTCTGGGTTGGTGGAAGTGAAGGAGGTACGTATGCACTAACTGCTTCCAGAAACTCCCTCATGCAGTTACCTTGAAATGTAGGTGGCGATTCCTGGCAGTTGCTGGGTAACAAAGTGTTTAGCTACCCTGGTTTACTGTAAAAGTGCACAGACACTGCCTACTACAAACTTTAGTTTTCCTTTAGGATTGAAAATCCCAGTTGTCTGCATTCACTGGAATGATGGACTGGGTGCTGAAATAAGGGCTTCTGCACAAGATTAACCTAAAATCTTACATTGCAGCTGCAAAAGGAAGCATTGACCCCGGAGGAGGCCCAGTCAGTCCAAGAGCATTTGGGTTACCAAGGCAATGACCTTCTCATTGTCCAGATAGAAGGCAAGAAGCCCAATTTTGAAGTGGGGTCCTCAAGTCAGCTCAAACTTTCCTTTGCCAAGCAACCTGGTCCTTCAGGTAAGGAGCGGTGCGTGCTAAATGTGTGGATTGCCTGCTTCTCACGTGACGAGCTTCCAGATAGGGAGAATAGGAACAGGGAGACGGCTCTGAGGCAGGGAGTCCTACAGTAAAAAGCTGTGAAGTGGGTCTTTCCAAAGTTGTTGAACTCTGTTGGGAGTAGATGGGGTAAAGGCTGGAGTAACTACTATTTCTTCCTTTGCTTTGGCTCCAGGAAAACCCGCTGTGGACCCAGCCACTGCCAAGCTGTGGACGCTCTCTGCCAATGACATGAACGATGAAGAAATGGTATCTGGTCTTGTTTGTGAGGCGTTCCTGTTGTTCATTCTCTCTCCTCTTCTTTCCCACTCTAAATAGTTTCAGTCATGCTTCTCGGGAAGCTTTACAACTTAAGAGGCAGAAAAGAATCCCCAGGGCAAAATACCTCATCTACTATGTGAAGTCTTGAGAACCCAGAGGTGTGGTGGGAGTGGAGAGGAGACATGGATAAGAGTTCACAGCTGCAGTGGTTTAATGCTGGTGCTACAGATAGCACCATTTGTTCAAACATAACACAGCAATGTCATTCCCTACTGACAAATCAATTTGCTACATGTTATCTTCCGTGGTATGTTTTCAGGATCTTTTGGACTCTGATGAGCTGTTGGATTCAGAGGATTTGAAAAAGCCAGATCCATCATCCCTCAGAGCTCCGTCCTGCAAAGAAATGGGCAAAAAGAAAGCCTGCAAGAACTGGTCAGTGCTGGGATTAGTGTATCAGTGATCCTTTTGACTGTAACATTAAACCCTTAGAGTTGGATGGGTTTTAAAAAGATTGTAGACCCTTTGCTGTTCTTCAGAGCATAATTCTCTTGGTTCACAGCCTTTCTTAACTATTTAAATGTAAAGGCAAATAAAATGAGAATTGACTAGCCACACCAAAACTGCTACAAATAACCGCACTGATATGGTCAATAGTCTTGAAGGTTGAGAGTTTGCGCAGCCTTGGCTAAACCCCTGGTTTCTCAGATTTCAAGGAGAAATAGCATAACAAGTAACAAGTGCCATAGAATCTTTCCCTGCTCAGTTTAAACTTGAGGAATGTGTTTCAACACTTGTTATACAAACCATGGTGTTGAAGAGGAAAGCGAAGAGCATGAGAGTCCTGGAGTCAGCTGTGTGGTGTGACAGAGTGAGGGCTATTGCGTGTGAGTAGGGCTGGAACAAGTGTTGGTGACTCACAACCTTTAAGCAGAAAGATGCAGGTGACTTCTTTATTTTTCTACAGCACATGTGGCCTGGCTGAAGAGCTGGAACAGGAGGAGAAGAGCTCACAGCCCAAATCTGCCTGTGGAAATGTAAATAGTCATTTTTGTTTCTATACTGTGGTTTGCAGTACATGATTTGTGTCGAGAACTGTGTTCTCTAGTGACGGCTCCCTAAGCTGACTTACTGCTTCCAAACGCTGCTTCTGCAGAGCTTCAGCCTGTTGCCCTGTGCCCACATGCTCCGTACCAGTGTGTGCTGTCTGTTCCAGCGCAAGTGCCACCCTTGTAGGAGTCAGAGTGAACAGTGAACCTCTTGCCTCCCTGCTCACGTGCTAACGGGTGATCTGCTCGGGAAAGATCATCTTATGGGAGCATAAGGGGACAAGGTGGTAGTTAGGGGGCTGCCCAAGCCCAGCTTGCAGCCATGCCCAGGTGCACCGGCTTGGGTAGAAACTCACTTCTTCCATGTGAGCAGAGTGCCCTGCACCGCTCTGCTAACCGCGCTAACCAGACGTGTGCTGAGAGGTGGGTGGAAGGGAAGCGGTTTCTGTGCTGATAATGCTGAGGAGCGTGTCATCTCTTTAAGTTGGAAAAACTGTATCACAGGGGGAGAGAACTGAAAGTTGCCCCTGATTACAGAAGGTGCTTTTCTTCCTCTTGCCAGTGCTACCTGGGGGATGCGTTCCGCTGTGCCAGCTGCCCTTACCTGGGGATGCCTGCCTTCAAGCCTGGGGAGAAGATTCTCCTGAAAGAGAACCAGCTGCATGATGCCTAACAAAGATGCCTCTGGATGTCCTGAGAAGGACTCCTGCTTTTCCATCAGTCTGAGGTTCTTCCTGCAGTCCTCCTCATCCTCTCAAACTCATTCTCTCCAGCCAAGACTCTTTGTGGGGAGGGACATTGTGGGCACTGACACTGCTGTGAGCTCATCGCTTGTAATCAACCTTGGGCTACCTGATAATCTTTGGTGACAAGTGATCTCGTGTGTATTAGACTTCATGTTATGCCTTGTTTTAGCTGGCTTGACTCGATACTGGGATGCTAGACTCGATACTGGGACGCTGGCCGTCACCAGCAGAGGGAAGTAGAATCAAGTGTCAGGTGGATCTCATGTGCTTGTGGCAGGATGGGTGCTTCCCTGTTACCCCTGTTGTACAGCTCTAATTTGCCCCGATTTTCCCTGATGAATCAGCAGCTCTGGCTCAGCTTTCAAGGTGACACTGGGCTCCTGCTCTTTTTGAAATTTGAACCTGCAGTTCCTTACCACGTGAAGGTGGCTCAGCAGCTCCTGTTGCAAGTCAGGAGCAGTGAGTACGCTTAGCAGTATGTACTCTTAGATGTGTACGTGCGCTCCTTGGTGAGGTCTGACAGGCATGATGAATTTCCAAGTGCTTTTGGGAGCCAACCCATGATATCCACTCCCCCCACCTCTTTCCATCAAAATGGCAAAGATTCAGTCCCGCTGAGAAAGCTCCTGCCCTTAAGGCAGGGAGCAGATTAAACAAGGTCTGTCCTGTCGTCCCACACCTTTCTGTCCAACACGAACTGATAACACAAGGGCAATCTGAGACTGTCACCTCTCTTGGTGGTTACCAAGTGAGTTACCTGCAGTGTCCAATAAGAACATAGCAATAACTTAATTTCTAGATGATCTGTGGTCACCATCTGCTCCTGCTCTGCGAGACACTGACCACTCTTTATTATTTATTTGCGTAATTACTGCTAGTGAAGCATCTGGACAGATGCAGGATGAGGGAGGTGTTCACATTCTGTGCCAGGCTTCTCACCCAGGGAGGGAGAGGAGGAGAACCCAAAGGCAGTGTCTCAGTGGGGATTGCTTTGTTTGGAGCTCTTGCTCTGCAGGATGCAACTGCTTATTGTGCTACTGGAGTTACACACCAAACTCGCGGAGGGAGTTGGGATAAAAGGCTGTTCTGTTCTTGAAATAAAAGTGACCAATAGTAAAGCGAAGTTTTTAAGACTGGTATTAGTGGCGTTCTAAGCACATCTCCCTTTTTACTCAGCCTCTCAGTGATTTAAATGTTGGGTTGCATCTTGGAGTTCTCCATAAATTGTTCCACTGAAAACATGACTGGAATACATGATGCCCACTGGAAAGAACAGCATCAAGCTGCCTAGATAAACTTTTTTATCTGGTCTAGATTTCAGAAAGAGGCTTTCTCCTCATTGTGTAAGGAGAAGGTGGCTTGCAGGGAGCAAAGGACGGGAGTCCTCGGGGTGTGCGAAGCACCCTGCATGGATCCAGGGGCAGGCGCTGCAGTGTGAGCTGTGTAGTACTCAGTACTTACCTGGGAGCTGGAGGGGAACATGAGGGACTGGCGGCAGCGGAGACCTCCTGAGAGCTTGTATGCAGAGGGGCAGCTGCCCTCCAGCAAGAGTACGGCTTTTCCAGACCATGTCCTCACCTGAGTCCCTGCTCTGTCATCAGTGAAAACAACTCCCAAGGAGATGCAAATCTTGTGATGAGCCTCCTGTCCAGCAAACTTGTTAGCACTCCCATCTTGTGAGCTAAGGAAACGGGTAAACGCCTCTGCACACCCATGACCTGGGGTTTTACTGCCTTTTTTCAGCCCCACTGGTGGCGGAAGATCAAATCTCATGTAAAAGGTCCCTGATAAAGGCAATCCTTAACCTGAACTCTGCTTTCCTTTCAGGAGTAAATAAGATAAGAGAGGGAGGAGGCAGCAGCAGAAGCTTTTCTTTTACAGTGATCCGCTCAACTGGAATTTAAACAAGCTGGAAGCACTTTCAGATACTGCTGAGTTCAGATAATGATGGTTAAGGCCGTATAATCTCGTTCTCTTTAAACAGTGTTACTCTTGCTGTGGGAGAGGCCTTCAAAGGGTGCCAGTTTGGCAGTGGAGCACCAGCGGGGTGGTGATATGCTCCTACCAGGCTGAGTTTGGGGAGTATTTATCCCTTAAGCCCTCTTCCTTTTTCTGCTGCAGCCTCCAGCCACTCTGCCTGCCCTCCCCGCCTCCTTCCATCCCTAGTCCTTATGTCTGGCCGCCCCCCCTGCACTGGGAGTCGGCCCTTGTCCCTGGGGGGTGAGCCGGCTGAGGCTGTGCCTGGAACAGAATAGACTCTCAGTTGGAAGGGACCTACAACAATCATCTGGTCCAACTGTCTGACCAATTCAGGGCTGACCAAGATAAAGCACGTTGCTAAGGGAATTGTCCAGGTGACTCTTAAACGCTGCTGGGCTTGGGGCATCGACCACCTTCTAGGAAGCCTATTCCAGTGGTTGGCCACCCTCTAGGTAAAGAAATGCTTCCACGTGTCCAGTCTGAACCTCTCCTGGCACAGCTTTGAACCATTCCCATGTGTCCTATCACTGGATCCCTTGGGGAAGAGCTCGGCACCTCCCTCCCTGGCAGCTGGGATGGTGGGAAGGGGGCTAAAAGGGCAAACTGTAGGAGGATTAACTGAACTTGGCAGACACGGCTCAGGTCCTGATGTGCTGTTGAGCCAGCTCTGCAACCACAATTCCACGGGAGTCTTCAGCAGACACTTTAAACGTGCCCTGCAGCAGAGTTATGGCGCTGTAACTTCATTTTCAGTGAAGCTTATCTGATTTTTCTCCTGTAGCTGACCTGTTCCCGTGTTCCTCTGAACTCCTTGCTCCAGACAGGTGAAGCTACCCTGCCTCCAAGTGACCCAGGCTGGACACACAGCACCAGGTACGGCCCATGGGGAGTGCAGGACTGATGGGCAAGCTCGCATCTCAAACTGAGAGCAGAAAGAACTAAAAATCCCACTGCTCTGTGGGACGGAACGAGCTGTGCAGCTGCACGCACACTGCACTGGGGCCTCTGAGCGCCTGCTGCCTTAGGCCAGACCCCTGAGACCTTACTGGATCTGGCCATTGACTGTTCTTCCATTGTTCCAGTTGTGGACTTGCTTCTTTGCCTCCTCCTATTTCTTTTTGGAGGGACCGCATCCTCCATCACCCTCTGAAAGCATCCCCTCTGCACCACTGCCTCGGGGACTGTTTTACAGCACTGCAGGCAGACGGGGCATGCAAGGGCTGGCCACTGCAAAGACAAGCAACTGCTCATCCCATTCTTGGTGGCCATAAGTCCCATCCCTCTTCCCTGCTGTTCTTCCTCCAAGCCAGGGGCCGGGGCAGCCTGGGGGATCCCACCTGCATTGGGATGGGGTTTGGGGCTTTGACATCTAGACAAGAGGGGCCAAGGGTGCGGGATTTGGTCCAGGACTGCCACCATAGGAATCCCCTCACCTCACCTCTTCCTATTTCCACTTGTGCAGCATAAAAAAGATGGATGTGTTGGGTTTTTTTTCCAGCTGCAGAAGCACAGAAAGCTGTGCAATGTGATGAAGGGCCTGAGTGCAACTGGGTTGTAAGCAGGAGTTACAGGGCAGCGGGAGAGGCCCTGGTGCAGGGGAAATGGATGTGCGTCTCCCAGCCAGTTTGCTCCAGACAGGCTGTTTCCTATCTCCAGCCCTGTCCAAGGGGGTTTTTAGCAGCTTTTCTGCTCCACTGCCTCCCTCCAGCGGCTGCGCCTGCTCAGCATCACCTGGTCCTCGTCCCCCCAGCTCTGTGGACCCCAGCACACAGCAAAGCCCAGTGCCATCAGCTTCTCCTCCCAGCACCGCTGGCACCAGTCCTGGTCAGCGCTGTCTTGGGGACATAGAAGTAGTCTAATTTACAAAAATCGGGGATTAAAATAATCAGGGAGTCTCCTCCAGCCCTCCACAGCAATTAAACTGAAACAGAGTGAATTGCCTCAGTTTTCCAGGGGGCTGTGAGCTCCAGCACTGTGTGCCATGGGCCTGGCGAAGCACTGCATCACAGAGATGAGTGTCCGTTCCTCTTATTCGTCTTGACGGATGAGATCAGCAGCATTCCTCACCCTTCTCCTCCTGCCTGCCTCTCTCACCATCCTTTGAATGTCCCCTTTTACCCTGGAGCCTGTTCAGGGGATGCTTTATGGATCTATTCATGGAGAAACACCCCAGTGCATCTACCCCTGCCTCCGCACTCGCACCCCGGCATTGGAGGAGGAGCCGCTGCCTGAGCAGTCACACACCATTCGTGGTGGTGGGCACACACACTTACTTCTGGGTGTGCTTCCTCCTTCTTCAGGCTTGACCCTCAGTTTCCTGCAGCAGAGTCTCAGCTGTCAGATTTTATAAAATAATTAATTTAATTGAAAGGTACAACAGCAAGCACAGCCTGGGCTGGGTGCCTCCAAAGAGGGGGACCCCATGGCAATTACACCCTTGTGATCTATACACCTGCCCCTCGTGTGCCCTTCACGTGCTGCCCGTGCGTCTTTTAGTCCAAAGGTGATTTATGGTTTGGGGTCCTCTGACATCTAATTGGATTCTTTTTCTGTGTCCAGGCAGACAGGTTCCTATCCTGTTGATTTGCAGTTTCAGACGAGGGTTGGAGCCTCCTTATCTTCTGGTTCACACTGCTTGTGCACCTGCACTCGCTGGCAGAACGTGTGGTATCAAAACACTTGCCCATAACTAAAAGACTAAACACAGCACTGTACCTGTTACTAAGAATAATAACTCTCTCATGGCCTAGAGGCTTCAGCAAATGTAGCTACTCATAAATCACACCATACAGCATAAATCACACCCTATTATAACCCTAAGTAATTTATTCTAATTAAAACTTACTTATTTACACTAAACAACGAATATCCCTCAACACTGAGATGTCCCCTTGCATGGCTTCGACTTGGGGAGGCACGAAGAGCCGTGGAGCTCGGCACCGCTCCGCATGCACACCCGCTTTCCTCCCCTTGAATTCCAGCCGCTGCTTTTCCTCCTGCCGGGAAAAGTGTGGCCACGTCGGTGGCTTTCAGAG